CACCGCCAGGGAGTCGCCAGGGCGCCCTGGAGCTGACACTGCCAGCCCGGAGGGCCGGAGCACATACCAGCTGGAGGACTGGAAAGGAGGAGAAAAGTCCATATTTATCTGTTTTTCTAACCTCGGCCTGCTTTTATTTTTTTCTATTAAGTACAATAAAATGGGCGAGCTTGCAGCGAACACCACACAAAGCAATGTTCAGTGAGGTCTAGAAGCGTGCGGCCGGGAAAACTGACAAGACAGGCTAATGAACCGTGTAGACAGGGAGAAAATAGGCAGCGTTTGCTAGATTTCAAACCCTCACTGTCTCTCTTAGACCACCTATCTTGGATTTATTCCTAATAAAATAAGAAATAAGCAGACCCTACACTTTTCTTTTCTTCGAGATGGAAGGGGGGAAAAATGCCCAGGAACAAAGCCCTACAATTGGAGGGGGCCACTGGCAGTTAACACTCCCATTATTATGGAGGGTAAATAAAATAAAGACAAAAATTAAAAGCGACAAGAAACAGGTCAAGTTTGCAGGCGAAGCTTTTACAAGCTCATCTCTCCAGGTCGAATCCCAGAGCCAGCCTTAATGAAGCAATAATAGCCACATTATTCAAAAATTTTCATCTTGATGGAAATGTATCTAAAAGGGACTTAATCATATGCAAATAATAAAGGAGGTGGTAGTGACCCAGTGAGCAATATGCATACAAATTTTTTTTCTTAGGGATGTTGAAATTGAAAAACGCATACCTGGTCTGTTAGATTTGCTGATCTTGTTAAATCTTCACTGTCTGATTTTGATCCTCCTTCTCTATCGTCTATCACCAAATCGATAGGCATTTTCCCTTTCAAACAGCTAATATACCGGTGGCAGAAATTGTCACATAATTCGTGTACCTACATTATGACAAAAATAAAAAAATGGAAATATAATCAGGAGTGCATAAATGACATTGACAAGTGCAGTCCACCCTCCTTGTGAGATCCAAACTTCCAAATAGGGGAAACACAGGGCAATTGTCCTCTAGAGACCCCCACATGCATTCAGAATTAGGAATAACTTTCTTTTCTTGCAAAATAGAGATATCCCAGAAAATTGACAGTGACAAGATGATTCACAGTCTACAACATACTCAACACCCATGTTAAATTCATCTGCTCCTGGGGCTGTGGTCATTACAGAGGTGACCTGCATGGGTGACATCTAAGGTAAACTATTTAATTTCAACCAGTTACTTTATCATAAAGCTTTTGCAAAGGTGTCTAAGGAATATATATAGATACATATATATGTGTATCTCTCTCTATATATTCTATACTGTGGTGATCTAAGATATATGCCTGACAAATCAAGTTGCCATTGTTCATGATATGGGAAAAAAAATATAGCCACAAAATTTATCAAATTGATTTTTTTGAAAGAAAGAAAAGAATCACTAAAAAATATTTAGGTCTAAGTGAAACCGACTGTTACAGGCCCCAGGCATCCCTGACATGCAAAAACTCGGGAGGAACCCCAGTGTGCTTGCGATTTAATGTTAGTTTGAATTACAATGCATTAAGTTTTTATTGCTTAGATTTATAGAACAGCTAGCAAAATCATGTTATCCCACACTCTTTCTTGAGTGTGAAGGCGAGGTGTGTGCTGGATCACAGATTGAAAAACTTGACAGAACCACTGCTCCCTGCTTGTCTCTGAGAAGGGTCTACTGCGCCCGCCTCCCCAGGACTCCTCGGCTTCTTCCATGTCTGACCTACCCCTGCTCTCAAACTGCCTTCCCAAAACTCACTAAAACAAACCAAAACTTTCCCCCCTTGAAGGGAGCAAAGAAGAGAAAGACAGATCATAGGGGCATTAACTTGTGAAACAAATTCACAGCTGCATTCTAGGCATGTATTGGGATGCCCAGCACTGCACAAAGGCAGCAAGGGGCAGGAGGCTAGGGTGTCTGTGATCCCAGCTTTAGTGGCTGAAATTGTAATTAAACTGCAAAGAGAAATGGACTCTAAGATTGGCCTTGACACTAATTACCAGAAAGAAAGACATTTATGCAAATATCTGGAAAGTCTGAACTTCAGCCATTCTGAAAGCGCCCCTCTGTGATTGGAGGTGAAAGGGAAGTAAAGGGAAAGGGGACTAAAGAATTTACCTTCTCTAATTCCAACAGATGAAACCTTAATACTTGTATGGCTTGAATCATCTGCAAAGATAGAAAAGAGTGAAACCCCATTCCTGGTTTGCAGAAAATTGGCTGTCACAGCTCTAGCATCTCCAGCCACCCATTCCCCCCATAAACAGAGTTATTTTGATTTATGGCAATAACACTAAAATTTAATAGCAGCGACTGGGTACCATCTAGAGGTTTATATTTCTTAAGGAGAAAAAAAAATAGCTAAACCAACAACAAAACATCTAAGTGGGGATCATAAACACTCTCCAGCCCAACTCCTCTTCTCTTTCCCAGTCTCACTCCCCTCCCACCCACCCCAAAGGGCCACTGCCAGGAGTTACACATTTCCTGGAAGGGAGTTAAGGTAAGTTTCCCAAATAGCCCCCAAAGTATGGCTTTTAGCATTGCAAACTTCCTCCTGCCTTCTGTCCATTCACCTTTGATGCCAACTGCTTGTTTGGGGGTTCTGACCGGTGGCTGTCCTGGTGAGGACACTCAGAGGCTGGAAGCCCACAGGGTTTAAGCACACACGCTGACAGGCCAGGAGATAAATCCCCAGGCTGATTAGAGCTGCACAGCCTGGCCGTCATAAAAAACAAAGCCGGCGTTCCCCCGCCGCTTCTCCCAGGCCCTCTTGGATGAGTTTATACCCGGGATCTTGCCCCAGTCACTTGTCCGTGGAAGGAAACCTTTGCAACCAACTTGCAACCACGGGAAGAACAGTCTGGAGACCTTGAGGGCCCTCAAAGCAAGACTGAGGACTAGCGGTGGGGTGAAGAGATGGGGGAGGGGAATGAGGAATTAGGTCTTACCAAGTTATCCAGTTCTGGATTAGAAGAAAATAGAGGTTTTTCTGCGCGAATCTAAATAACAAGTGAGAAGGAGAGGGTAAAGAAAAAATGAAATTAAAACGGGTCGTCTTCCTAGTTTCTGGCGTCATTTACACTGTCGGGGCAGGATGTAACCTCCCGGAGGGACTCACTGCCTGAGTTGGTCCCACACAGACACACTTCGGGGTGAGCCCAATAGGCCTGAGACCAGGCCAGAGCACGCTCTGGCTTCAGCTGGATCTACACTTCTGCAGACTGGAGCTCGGCCTGTCCCTGCAAGTTGCCACCTCCGTGGTGGTCCTGATTTCACTGCACCAAGTGGTCTGCCTTCCCTCAAGGGTGGTGAGTGCGTCTCTAGATGGGTGATTGTATGCAAACACACTCACGGGGAGGCGGGAAGACCAAGGGCTTAAGGAGACTATTTTTTTTAGCTAGTTTGGAAAATGTGCTCTGTGCGTGTGCGTGTGTGTGCGTGCGTGTGTGTGTGTGTGTGTGTGTGTGTGTACGCGCGCGCGCTCACGCGCGTACCGGGTGCGGCACGATTTCTTTTACTTTATTAACATTTAGTTTTGCTGACCTGTTTGGCGAACACGGCTATATCTTCATTGAATGACTCTGACGAGCAGACGTCCCCGCCCGCCACCCCCGGCTCGCGGGGGGTGCAAGTAGCTAATTCACATTTCTCAAAAATCAGTGCTAAGAGAGGGAAGAGGGGGTGTCTGCAAGAAAATACAACAGTCACAAACAACACAATGGTTAGTCCCGAGTCACAGAAAAGGCGCCCTAGAGACACAGTCCGAGGAGCTCCACGCAGAGACCCTCGAGGCTCTGGTCATCCGTTCTGCCCCCTATGCACCCCGCTCAGGTGGTGGTCAAGCCCCCTTGCTTCTCCAGGCCAGGAGTCGGAGGCCCAGAGCCCTCGACCGCATCTGAGGGCCGGTTCAGCGTATCAGGCCGGAGAAATCGCAACATTTGCTACGAATAAAACCCAAGCGGTTCCAGCAGCCATTTTGAATTAAGTTTCGCATCGCAACAAGCCCTCGTCCCTCCGCGGCACATGCAGGACCCGGTACTAGGGGAAGGCGGGCGCTGGGGCGGGAGAGCGCCAGCCGGGGCCCTCCTCCCGGGAGCGCAAAGCCCGGCGCTTCGGGGACCTCGGTGGCAGGCGCGCAGCGAACTTGGGGGAAAGGACCGACTGTCACAGGCTGCACCTTCCGACCCCTGCCCGGCAGCCGTGGGAGCGCAGAGGCCCCTTCACCGCTCCTCAACGCGCCCCCCTTCGCAGACCCCCTCCCACTGCCCCCCAAAGAAAGTTCCTTGAAATAGTTCCGCAGCAAAGCCTTCCACTTCGTCTCTGTGAAGTGGCCAAGCAGCCAGCGTCTGGAGGGCCTAGATGTCGCTGGTCTCAGCCCATTAAAAAAGCTTCTAATGTCGAGGAGCCGCTAGTCTTTTATTAGCTCTCACGGCCCAGCTGGGAATTTAAAGAGTTTGGGGTCTTTTTCAAAGCTTCCCAAATGTTCTGTCCCCCAGCCTAAACCACTGCAGTTAAGGTTGCAGAGAGAAGGCTGGGATTGAGACTAGCCCATCGTACAAGGGACAAGGAACTATAGCAAAAGGATTTTCCCCCCAGCGGGAAGGGTCCATGCCGCATTATTTTTTTTAATTAGAAAGAAAGTGAAATAAGTGTAATAAAAGTTGTTACAAAGTTTTTTTTTTTTTAAGGCCCCCGAACATCTGCACACTGTAAAGCACAAGAAACTTCCAAAAGGATTTTTCCCGGTGCAGGGTCTAATCAGTCGGCGGACGGAACACAGTAAACCCTGGCCAGAAAAGTCTCCAAAGAAAGAGCATCCCCCAAGCACTTCTTGCTAAATTCTGCAGGTTTCGCCTTTGAATACAAGTGCCAAAACGTCTAGAAGTTTCTTAATGTCTGTGTCAATTCAAAGCAGGCCCCTCTCCTTGACTTCACTGATCAAATTCCTTAAAGCAAGACTGACCTGCAGCTGTCCTCTGACTTTACTGTGCACCGGCAGGGCCAGCATACGGTGGCTGAGTAAACTCAGCAAGTCAGAACAATCGATGGCTTAAAAGATTTCCCCTTAAACTAAAAGTTTCGTTCCAACACAAAGCCTCCAACACTTAGAAACCCCCAACGCTCTTGAGCAAAGCCTATGGAGCAGACTCGGATCCGAGGGCCGGTAGGCAGAGACGGATGCGGGGTCCTGAAGTCCCCAGTCCAGCCCTGGGACTCCTTGGCGGCCAACGTGGCCGCCTGGTCAGGCGCCGAGCTTGCAGAGTGCAAATGGAAATGGGGGGGGGGGGTCTCCTCCAAATTCCCATGTAAAGTGAATAGTCATCAGCTAAGGACCTCCAACCTGGGCAGCACTGCGTCTCAACTACTTAAGTGCTCATTATACCTACCCATAAATGGCATCTTTATCTCTCTTTAAAGCGTCATTGACCGAGGAGCCCATGCTGGGGGCCATGGCGTTGGTGTGAGCTGTGTGCGGGTACTGATGCGAGTGCAGAGGAGGCCCGTGGTTCAGGTGGTGGACCGGCTGCATAGACCTGGCTGCATGCGGGTCCCCATACATCGTGGAGGGGATGCCTACTCCATCCATGCCCCCGTAGTGGGGTAGATCGTCGTACTGCATGACAAACAGGAGAGAAAAAGGGGTCAGAGGCCACTCGGGTAAACTGGAACGGTGGGGCACCGAGCTTATAAAAGGTCAGTCCAGCTGGATCCTTCAACCCGAATTCCCTGGCCTTACATCTCCAAAGTTGAGATTTCTATCGTAAAAAATAATTTTTAATGTAAAAATTCTAAAATTCTTAGTAAGACTCACGTGAGCTGGAGGTCCTGCCCTAACTTGTATCTATATACAGTTATTCAAAAATTGAGAATCTTTTGGCAAGGAAGGAAGGAAGAAAGAAGGAAAGATAGGCATTCCCCCCGGAGGGCAGAAGGTAAAACATGCATGTTTCTGGAGGAGGAAACCGAAAATCACAACAATAAAAACGTGCCAGGACAGTGCAGTAAACCTGCCTGGCTTCACAGTCCCTTCACTTCGCGGAAAATTAAAAAAAAAAAAAAAGTTTATGATGGGAACAGCCATGCTTGGCACATGAATTCAAAAAGGCTTCTCTCCCGGCCAGCATGGGATTGGGCGCTCCTGCAAGACACTGTTTGCTTTCCAAAACAAACTCTGCTAAATTATACAAAACCTTATATATAACACTCAAGTAAGGACAAGGTAGTTTGTCCTGCACTTTACAGCTGAATATAGATCTGGACAATTCCCCCACACACACACAGGTCAAAGAAAAGCTATAAACGAAGAAAAGTTGTATAAAGGCAGCAGCTAATAACTTTTCATATGCTTACAAACTTTCTCTCTAGAAGTTAAGGAGGTAAATACTATTGGCTAGATTTAAGAAAATTCAGAAACAAATGCCTGTCCAACTTCACCTTCCTCTTCCAAAAAACTGCTTTCCTACTGATTGTCATGACTGTTTGTGATAAATTTAGCTATTTGAAATTTTCTGTTTCATTACAGGCAAGCTCTTTTTCCAAGATCTGGAGATGGTGGGGGTGAAATGATTTTCAAAGAAAGAGGAATTGTCACTTTCATCTTCTTAAAGCCAGAGGTGTGAAAAGAGCTGGGAAGAACCCTGACATTCGCGAGAACCAAAGGCGTAAAGAAAACTCTGTCAGCCCTAGTAACTTTCTTTTCCAAACAGAGCTTTGAGGGCCAGGACACAAACCCGGCAAGGAAGCCTTGCCATAGTCCCCTTTCTTCTGAGAAACTACCTTAACTGGGCTGGCAGGGTCTCACTTCACTTCCAAGGCATTTCCATTCAAATACAAATACTGGGGAAATTAGTATTTCATTTTAAAAGTGAGCAGCTCTGTGCTTAGTATCCAGTTAGCACAGAGCTTCCCTAAGAAAAAACTGTAAAGCATTATCTTGCATAAAAATCCAGGCAAATTAAAGTTACTTTTAAAAAGATGAATAATTTTTCAACCAAAAATTCACTGTTCGGTATCAGTTATTTATCTAAAAATGCTAACTACTTCTAATGATAGTAAGGACGAGCATAATCAATAATATATCAGAAGTTTCAGCTGCTTATTTTAAACATAGCTTTGAAGTTTAAACTTCTGGTCCCTAAATGCTCAAATTGTAGCACTGAGCTTGTAGAGATTTTTTCTTCTTCTTCTTCTTTTCTTTTTAAACAGGTGATTGCTTGAGCTTGTATTTTTATTTATATAGCTGTTGGTTAGGAATCTATAGAAAACTTGATTACTTGAATTAACAACTACAAGTAACATGCATAAAACTACAAATGCATTCAGCAAATCCTGTCGATTTAGGCCGTGGCTTTAGAAGGCTCATTCAAAAAGAGAGAAAGAAAAAAAAGGAAACTTTTCAGCAGTGTCTTTCAGCCACGTTTCAATTTAATCTCACATTTGAGTTCCACAATTGTTTTTAATACGTACCCTTTGCGCCATCGGCCTCTCTGGCTCCCTTCCTACTTCAACTTCTAAAATATCCTCTTTAAGGCCAGTGTGAAAAGAAACAAATATGCAAACTCCCTCGGAAAAAA